GGGTGGCCTGGCTGTGGGCGCGGCTGTGGGCCCTGGGGGTGGCCTGGCTGTGGGTGCCGCTCACCCCGGCTGGGCCCTGGGGGTGGCCTGGCTGTGGGCGCGGCTGCTTTCAGCTTAAGGAAAGACGTTAACCCAGGACCTTAAGGAGGCTGCCGGTCTCCACCTTCCTCAGTGTCAGCAGCCCTGTGCTTTTCCCCGGCGGCTGCAGCTAACTGCTTTCTGGAGGGGCTTGTAAACAGGGAGAGGCTGCCTGCGGTCGGGTCGTGGCTCCAACTCTAGAACCTGGAGGTGATGGAGCCTCTCTGTGCCCCAATTTTTTCATCTTTAAAATGAGACGATAGTAGCAGTCTCTTTTTATGGAGTGTTGATTTTTAAAATATGAGAAATTAAATGGAAAATAATTAGGTCGGGGTACACAGGAAACAATAAAAAATATGTAATGTTATTACTATGAGTATAACATATTTATTGAATAATATTTAATAATATGGGCTAGAGGTCTTTTAAGTTTTTGTTTTTAAAATTAAAGACAGTGCTGTGATTTCTTTTATTCTATGATCAGAAATAAAGGAATTCATTATAACAATGTGACAACAGTAGCAACAAGTTTTGTTTAATTCGCACAGTTGAGACAGAGTAAAACCACGCAGATTTGAAGAAAAACAGGAGAAAGGCAGCAAATATAAACTAGAAGGAACAAAATCACCAAGTACATGTAACATGGAAACAGTTGCAATCCACAGGCAGCCAGAGGACATTCCTAGAATGACCACACAAGCAAGCACAGGAACAGGATTTTCCTATTGAAACGGGCGGACATCAAAGACTTCACCTTCTCCTCCACCTCGCCAGCTTCACTGGCAACACGTGTGCTTCCCATGACAAAAAATACATTATAAAAGGGACCATGTTATCACACTATGAAAGGTAGCAAGTTTGCTGTTGGTGTGTCTTCTCCCACACAGTGAGACCGGGGCTGCTGAAGTCAGGCCAGGAAGGTGCCCAGGGACAGGCAGCCTGGTGGTGAGGGGGGCACCAGGCCACTGGGGAGGGG